CAGGGACTTACAGAAAAGCAGAGTGAATGTGTAACAAAGAAACTGAAGCCAGTTTTAGCCACATAAGACTTTACCGACTGGGGGTCATCCTGGGAACCAGAAGCTTTACCCCAGTGGAATCATCCTTACTATCCTTTGGAGCTTATCTTTGGAATTTACTTTTCTAGCTGACAATTGCATTCGACCTTTCAGTTAGGTTTGCTTCCAAAGGAAGCATCAGGCCTATGCTAGACCCCTGGAGATAAGATGACCAAGGTGCAGTTTTTGCCGTGTAGAGCTGGGAGCGAGGAGTCCGGGAAGAAAGATTGAGCGTGAATGACTAAGGGAATCAGAAACACCCAGAGTAAACCTATTAAAGAACAAAGAATATAAAACTGGTGCAGACAAGTGAAATAAACACTGTCTGCCTTTGGGGAAACATCAAGAAAGGAGTCTGATTAAGGGAAAAGATGGACAAAGTATCCTAAATGTACCAAACAGCTTAAAATATGAATGTTGCGGTACAGTGACATGGATATGTGTGGCGGGCATACAGAACGGATCAAATGTAACTAGAGCATCCCTTTATAAGCAAGGAAGAAAGCTTGTTTGGGGTAAAGCCATTCAGTACTTCATGAAATGTTTTTATAGCAGACCAGGGGCCGGACTTGGTCCTTTTAGTTTTTGAAGATAACAATTGCCAACTTTGAGGTTTTTGTTGTTGTTGTTCCCGTCTCACGGGCTTTGCACACGCCCCACCCTGTGTTCTCTGTTTGTTTTTTTTGTTGTTGTTGTTGTTGGGTTTTTTTGCCTAGTTAATTTCTTTTCATCCTTTAGAGCTCAGTTTGAAAACTACTTGCCCCATCCCTGTTTCCCTAGTTACGAACTTGATCTCTCCTTCATGTTCCTTGTCCTGATTATAAATAAATTATGTTATTGTTTAATATTTGCTGTGTCTAATCTCTTGCTTGCTGCTCTTTCCCTAACATGGTGTTGGACGCATAGTTGGCATGCAATACATATTTGCTGAAAGAATGACTGAAGCGTGTCCATTGAACTCAGCAACAAGAGTCACTGTTGACCTTGGTTAGACGGTTTTGCAGAAATGGTGGGGGTGGAAGCCAGACTGCAGTAAATGGGAAATGAGGAAATGAAGGCAGTGATGCGCAGAAAACTTTTCGTAGGTGCAGCTGTGAAGGGGAGAGGCTGGGGTAGTAGCTAGAGCAAATACGGTGCAGAGTTGTTTTTGATAGGAAAGACATGAGCTTATTTAATAGTGAACCAACACAGAAAGAAGGTCGTGGAGTAGATACCTGAAAGTATGCATCTTCTAAGAGGTGGGATAGGTGGAATCCAGAATGCGAGTGTCATGCTTAACAGCCTCACATTTGTTCTGTAGACATTGGCAAGCCTGACCTAGAGCTGAGATAGTCTGGAGCCTGAGTGAGCCAGCTGAGATTGTGCAGCAGACAGGAAAAGAAGCCGAAGAACTGAAGTAGGGTGACGTTTGGAAGGTGGAACCAGATAGCTATGAGAGGAAGAGTAGGGGGTCTTGACTTTGTGTAGCCACAGAGCAGATGCCTAAATAAGTGTAAACGGAATGGTTTTGGGGTTTCTCAAGAGCAGAGAAAATGGGGCAGGCTGTGGAGGATGAGGCAATAACAGGTTATCTCAAGTTTCCTCTTAGTGGAAAGTCCTTACCCTGTGAGTTTTGGGACTAGCCAAGATGTTGAATTGTCAAGTGGGTGGTCAGGTTAGACACTATTCCTTTTAGGTTAAAAACTGAAAACAAGAAACAAGGTGTGGCTCAAAAATAATGAGTTTTTCTGAGAGCAGGGCTCGTAACTGACCCTGACAGACTTTCCATGTAAGTTTCCAAAAATGTTGCAGAAATAAGCTTATGAGTTTCATTTGAATGGCTCTGTTGATTAAAAATCTCATTGGGAGTCAGGCATAGTGGCACATGTCCATAATCCCAGCACTTGGGAGGCTGAGGCAGGAGGATCACCACCATTTCAGGGCCAGACTAGGCTACATAATTCAAGTCTAGCCTGAAGTACATAGTGAGACCTTGTCTCAAAAATTTTTTTCTCACTTGGGCCAAGGGTATAGCATGTAGCCTAGCAGTAGAGCACTTGCCTACCATACGTGAAGCACTGTTTGATCCCCAGGACCACAAAAATATGCACACAAAACCCTCTCACTAATTTATTGTTTTGTCCAGTGTCTGCCTGACCTGGCCCTGGCTTGTATGAGCTTCTCAGACTTTTTTGTCATGGAGGTATGTTTTGTGTTTTGCGGCAATGGAAATTGAGGCCAGGGCCTTTGTACTGATACTCCAGCCTCTTTCTAAACTTTTTTTTTTTTTTTTTTCCTTTTTGGTGTGTTTGAGACAGGGTCTCACTATGCAGTTCAGACTGGCCTTGAACTCACTTTATAGCCCAGGCTGGCCTCAAACTCACAATGATCCTCCCGTCTCAGCCTCCCAAGTGCTAGGATTACAGGTATGTGCCACCATGCCTGGCTTTTTTTTTTTTTAAATTGGGAGCTAGGATCTTGCCAGGTTGTTCAGGTTGAGCTTGACCGTGTGATCCTTTTGCCTTACTTTCCCAGAGTGCTGGGATGCCAGGCATGCATCCTGGCAACCTTAGAATTTTTGAGAATGGCGTATACTCCCTGACTACGACCATTCTGCTACTCAAAGAGCAAAAAGACCCTTCTGAGAGTGGGGATGATAGATCCAGGAAGAATGATGGGTGGGCATATAAATGCCCCATCCTTGGAAGAGGACCAAGAGCTAAAAGGAGCGGAGGGGAAAGGGAAGTAAAAAGAATTAACATGTGTTATGTACATGTACCAACTCCCTGTGGTGAATGTAGTCATTATGTCCCGCAGGCGTGTACTGATAAAAAAATTTTAAATGTCCCATCATTTAGGAACTAGTGGGGAGGAGTGGCTTTTCAGTTGTGCTAGCTTTCACTGTCCTCGCGGATGAGGAGGACAATTGTCTGCAGATGGGCTGCCCACAAATGGTGCTGAGCAATCTTGAAGTGCCTGGAGCTGTGCTTTGTCTATTCATGGACCCTGTGCTGCGAAGCAGGGCTCAGTGACTGTCACTATGCCTGTGGCAGTCTGGAATTAGCCAGAGAGAACAAAGCTGCATACACAGAGTGCACAAGGGAGTCTTGTAACAACCTTGTCCCTCCTTCTAGGTCTGCATCAGGTACCACGGCTTGATCTGAGGTGCCTGCTTTATTTCAAGAAGTTAGCATCTGAACCACATCAAGAGCCTTGTGTTTTGTCTGGGGCGCCTCCCTTTTGGAGAGACATGGAGCAACCCTTTGTGGCCGATCTTTCGGCCCACAAACCCCGTACATCTTTTCTCAGCCTTTAGTAGATCTTCCCCATATTTCAAGGCTCAACGCCAATGTCCACTTCATCTAGAGACTTTCCTGCCCCTCACTGGAATAAACAGGAGTTAATACGATGGTATAGAAAGAACAGACTTTTGAATAAAGTAGACCTGGATTTGAACGCTCTGTCAGCCACTTGGCCTGTCATCCCTCCCTGCTGGCTCCAAGCATCGGTTCCCTGTTAAACTCCTTAAATGAGAATGATGATATTTGTCACCCAGGCTTTTTTTTTTTGTTTTTAAACAGGGTTTCATGAGGTAGTTCAGACTAGCCCTGAACTCATTATGTAGCCCAAGCTGGCCGTGAACTTGTGGTAATCCTCCTGCCTCAGCCTCCCAAGTGCTGGGATTGTAGGCATGTGCCACCTTGACAGGATTTTTTGAGAATTAACTGAGACTGGGTCTGTCAAAGCAACTTGCATAATTTTTAACATATAGGAAACATTTGTTAAATGTCTTCTCCCTCTTAAACCTGTAACTTTTAATGAACTGAAAAATAGTACTTCTACTCCCAAAATGATATTCAAGTGAAAAATTACAATATGTAAAACTTTGTCCTCCAGGAGAAAGTTTGCTGTTTGTTGAGGAGTACAGGTGCTACTACCCAGCAGCCTCCAACATAGAGCTTTGTGTTGGGAGGACCAATGATTGTTAGTTGAGCAAATGAGCTCCTAGGTTAAATGATGGGAAATCTAGAAATAGTCAAAATCAGTAATGGCAGCACTCAGGAGGCTGAGGCAGGAAGAGTGCTGTGAGTTTGAGGCCAACCTGAACTACATAGCGAGACCCTGTCTCAAAAAACAAACAAGCAAACAAACAAACAAAAATCAGTAACAGGTCTAACTCAGAGAGGAGAGATTTCAGGGCACTACTTGGGAACAGTCATAAGGATTGACATTGAAAAAGAGACCTTCTTTATTTCTTCTACTTAGAGTTGTAAGCAAAGGCTAAAAGATCTAGGAAAAGACAAGATTTTGTCTCAATAGAAAAAGGAGCAGAAGGGGTTGGGGATTTAGCTCAGCGGCACAGTGCCTGCCTGGCAAGTGCAAGGTTGTGAGTTCGATTCCCAGTACCGGAAAAAAAAAAAGAAAAAGAAAAAGGAGCAGAGTTGTTTATTTACTTATTTATTTATTTATTATACCGAGAGTCAAACTCATGACCTCGCACTTGCCAGGCAGGTGCTTGTGCCACTGAACTATATCCCTGGCCAGAGTTGGTTTTTAAAAAATAAAATGAGAAAATTGGGTGTGGTGGTGCATGTGTATAATCCCAGCTACTTGAGAAGCTGAGGCAGGAAGATCCCCAGTTCAAGACTAACTTGGGCAATTTAGTGAGACCATGTTTCAAATACATGAATGAATGAACTAACAGACAAACAAATAAGTAAGTAGGACAGACAAAGCTACTTTTAAGGGTTTTCTGTCTATAGGGAGATAAGCCAAGGCTGCCAGGTGCCTACCAGAGATCTTATGGAGTAGAAAATGGTGTCAAGCAAAGTATTGGTCTGACCTTTTCAATATAAGATTCTGTTAACTTGTTCTACATGGTTGGAAGCTCATCCTTTTGCCTCCTGCTGCTTTGGACCTCTGACTCTTGGTTTTGTGTGCAGGTGAAGATGCCTGGTGTCAGGGCTGTGGGGACCATATTGCTCCAAGCCAGAGGCTGTACCGGACTGTCAATGAACTCTGGCACAGCTCTTGCTTCCGGTAAGTGGGTCTGTCCTCCTTCCTTTACCAGCATATAGTGGCCAGGCACTATTCCGGATACTAGAAAGTAAAGAAGCAAGTTTCTGACTAGAATTTCTATCTTGGCTGGGGAGTAGGTGTGGAGTGGGAGGGACGTGCCAAAGAAGAACACCCCTGAAGCCAGGCTAAAGAGGAAGAACCTCTGCCGGGAGTGGTGACGCATGCCTGTAATCCCAGCACTCAGGAAGCTGAAACAGGAGGATCGCAGTGGGTTCAAGGCCAGCCTGGACTACACAGTGAGACCCTGTCTCAGCAAACTTTAAAAAAAAATGAAAGAACGTCAAGTGCAGCTGGAGGGGTAGGGAGGGAAGATGGCAAGAGCCCTTTCCACAGTTTCTCTTGGCACACTCACTTTATGGGTAAGGTGACCAAGACCCAGAAAGTGACTTTCCCGTGGCTGGAGTACTGATACATAGGTGCCTCAAGGGTTGTGTGCAGTTGGCGCTGCTAGCTCTTGTTCATCGTAGAATTCCTCCCCAGGTTCCTGCTTTTTTGTTACTTTCTTGTAGCTCTTACTGTTCAGAGGCAGCTTGGTTTCTTAAAAGTTGTATGGACTTTAAAGTCAGATTTGCCCTTGTTTCCTGGGTCTCCGTTTCCTCACCTAGCAAACAGGGATGTTGACAACCTATCTCAAAAAAAAAAAAAAGGACTAAAATAATAGTAATACTAATCTGTCTCATAGACTTACTAAAATTGAGTGAAATGATACACCTAATCCATCCAGTACATGATAAGTATACACTGAATAGTTCTTCCTTTCCCCTGTACATTGGAATCTTCAAGGGTGGGAGCTTGTCTTTGTATCTCCAGAATGTAAAACAGTGGCTGGCCTACACTCATACCATACCTGCCAAATGAGGAGCTGTCCACTCTGGAGCCTGGGCAGGCATGTCCAGCCTCCATGGTGTGGAGTGATAGGGCAGAGCTCATGTTCTGAGAATAAGACAGACTGTAGACGGACACCATGTGCTGTGGATTCCAGCTCCCACACGCAGCTCTTGTTGCAAAGCATCCCCTGTGCTGATATCAAATAATGTCATTGACCTTTAAGCATTTGCCTCCCCCTGGGAGCTACGTGGGGAGTTGGTGTGGAGAAATTTGGCCTCTGAAAGAGCTGGAGAGGAACCAACATTCTCATGCCCTTTTTGCTCTAACTGTAGCTCTTTCTGTTCTTCCCTTCAACCTCAGTGAAGCTGGTGCCGCCTTCTCTGTGTATGATAGGAGTAAAGAGTGTCTGACCTTACCCTGTCGGTAGAACCCTCGGCTGGCCCTGTAGTTCATAGCTGAGGCTGACAAGCAGTATTAGAACCCAGTGAGTTCCCAGGGCAGGTTTTGCCTTGGCATCTAATCCACCTGGTCAAATTCATTCTTGCTGTTTTCCTGTTTGTACAAATATTCTCCATCCAAAATAAGCAGGACAGAGTAGAACAAGCTAATCCCTAGAATTTCTGGATTCTTCTGGAGCTAAAGAACTTCAAAACCAGAAGGAACCGCGTACTGTAGGTACAACCGCTTCACAACACAGATGAGAGAATTGCACAGGATCACTCAGGCCATGGATGACAAGAGCTATCCTTAAAACTGAAGTTTTGGATCATTTGTAAACCAGGTCAGATACAGCTAGTTAGAGAACTCTGTGTGTGTGTGTGTGTGTGTGTGTGTGTGTGTGTATGAGAGAGGGAGAGAAACATACACCCAAATGTATGTACATAAAGAAGTAAGGCATAAGCCAGTTATGCTGGCACATGTCTGTAATCCCAGCATCCTCGGTAGCTGAGGCAGAAGGATTATATATGTTTAATCTCAGCCTGGACAATTTAGCGATTTGAGACCCTTGCCTCAAAATTTAAAAAAGGACTGGAGATATAGCTCAGTTTGAGGGTTCTCAGTACAGTCTTTAGTGTTGGCTTCGGCAGCACATATAGTACAGTCTTTAATACTAAAAAAAAAAAAAAAATAAGGTATGTAAGCATGGAAGATAATAGTGTTAAAAATACATGCTACAAAATTAAACTGTCTTGTTTTAAATCCTGGGTTTGCAAGTTATTAACTGGCCTTATTTAACTTAGGTAACTGACCTTCAGGTAGCTTATCTATAAAGTGAGGAAAAGAATATTACTTGTTTCACATACTCATTAGGAAGGATTAAATGTGATACTTTCTATGTCTATAAAAAGAAAAAAAAAGGCCAGGTATGGTGGCATACGCCTGTAATCCCAAGGAGGCTGAGGCAGGAGGATCATTGCAAGTTTAAGGCCAGCCTGGGCTACAAAGTGAGTTCAAGGCTGGCCTGAACAGCATAGTGAAATTGTGTCTCAAAAAGACAAAAAAATTAAAAGTGTGTAACAAATCATCTGATCTGCATAGAAAACCTTTCATAACCAATAACTATCACTGTATCTTGTATATACTGATTTATGTCTCTTTATCACACAGTCATTGGTCATCTGATGTGGATTAAGGGTGACTGAGCTACCCTAGCAAGTTAAACTAAAGATCATGCCTATGGGAAAGAAAGAGTATCTAAGTTCAGTTTTGTGGGGTTTTTGGTTTTGGTTTTGGTTTTGGTTTTTTTGTTGTTTTGGGTTTTTTCTTAGTGTTTTGAGACAGGGTCTTGCTATGTATTACAGGCTGGCCTGGAACTCAAATCCTCCTTCATCAGTCTCCAGGGTGCTGGGATTGCAGTACTATCACACCCATAGTTTAATCTCCTAGTTGCCGCTTCACCTTAAGATCAGATCCTGTAATACAGCTTTAAGCTCCCAGCTCCCGAGCTTTCCTGTGATAAATGCTAGTTGGATGACCTGATGCCCTCTAATGGGGACTGCTAATTTGCCCTGGACATTTGCCCAAATTGCAGAAGATCCCCAGGGCTAGGAAAAGCTGTTGGAAGGAAGGAAGGAAAGAAAGAAGGACGGAAGGAAAACCTGTGTTTGACCCCTAAAGTAACTTGGGTTAGGAGGATGATGGGACATTGGCCTGAGAGATCTTTTAGGGTCTCTACCACCCAGTTTGCCTGTGATATCCTGATGAATTTACAGTATCTGGATGCAGGTCTGCTGGAAGCAGGAGAACCTTCCTTCTTTGCCATGAAAAAAATTTTTTTTGTCTTTTTTTTTGAGACAGGGTCTCATAATGCAGTTCAGGCTGGCCTTGAGCTCACTTTGTAGTCCAAGCTGGTCTCGAACTTGCAAGATCCTCCTGCCTCAGCCTCCCGAGTGCTGGGATTACAGGCATGCGCCACCACAAGAAATTCATTTTTATGGCTCCCTTCCAGCCTTGCTTCTGCCCAGCTGGGCTAGTTACAATAAAGGAAATGACTTTTCTTCCCTTCCTTGACACCTTTGTTTTCCTAGCCCGAGGGTGGGGCTGGACTTTGAATGGAGAAATTGCTGGAGTTCTTTCCAAGCTCCTCCCTTTGCCTCCTTACACTACCCCAACCTCCAGTCTGCAGCTACATCCGTAATTCTGCTTCTGATAGTCTTCCTCTGGATTTTTGAGCATTCAAGGCAATGGGAAACCACTTAAGGCTGGATCCTGAGACTACATTGAAGGCCCGCTGACCAGCCTCCTGGAAGTAGCCCAGTTGGTAATGGCGCTGGTGCTGTTGGGCTCCGGGCCAAGATCATTCTTATCTCCTGGACACATGGCTGACCAGCCCTTCTGCTTTCTCCCCCCAACCCTCCCAGCCAGCAGGCTTCCCTCTTCTTGAACAATGACATTGATTCTAGATCTGGAGCCCTTCTCTCTAAAGCTCTCTGGACCTGGCCCTCTCTCCTTAGGGAGGCCCAGAAAGTAACCAGAGTGTATGTTGTTTGTTGTTTGTAGCTGAGCTTCATGCGTGCAGCTGTGAATGGTGACTTAACCTCTTGACACGTTGGCCAGCCAGAGAATCTTCACAGGTTTTATGGTGATTGTTCCTTCACCCTCACTGGAAGTGTTGGCCAAGGAGACGGGAAAGCTGCCTTTGTTAGTTTTTGTGTCCCTAACCTAGGTCTCTCTTGCTTGACCTGGTTCCTAACAGCTTTATGTACCACTCTTAAGGCCCCTGGGAACTGTGAGGGCCTCCTTTCTGAGGATCGCAAGCACAGACTATTCGGGTTTTCTCCTGTGAAAAACGATCGGTAATTCCTGTTCTCTGGAAAAGGGCTGGTTGCTGATAGAAGACTGGTCACTTCCGGCGACAGACTATTTCCGCTAAAAGTGCTGTTAACCGATTTTTGCCAAAGATTGCAATGTTTTGAAATTTTACATCAAATGCGTATATATTACCTAGAAAAATTCAAGGAACAAGATATTGAAGAGAAAAAACTTTATTATGATCCATTGTGGGAGTTCCAAAAAACAGGACACTAGGCGTTTCACAGTTAACTTCCTCCAGGTCTCTGGCTTCTATGGGGGAGTCTGTGGAGCAACCCTGCCCTCTGCTGTTGTGTTGTTGGTGTTGCTGCCACATTTACTGGCCTAAGCCTTTGATTCTGGCGGCGGTCTTCTGGAAAGTGCGTTTGTGTGTATCTCCAAGGAAACAACCAGCCAGCTGGTTGTTGGACAGAGGCCTGAGGCCTACCTGTAGAGGAAAGGACAAACATCCCGCCCTCTGTCTGCCCCGTGAGAGACTCTGGCCTGAGTACAGAGTGGGGCTCCTAGGATTTAGCAGCAGCAGTGACTTTCATTGTGCCTTCATCCTGCTCTTTGCTGGGGGGAAGTGAAAACCAGGACCCCATAGAAACCCTGCAGCTGTTTCCTGAACAGAGGTGCAGAGCTGCAGAGGGATGAGACCAGGAATAGAGGAGTGATAATTTAATAAAGATTCTTGTAAGAGCTTCACTTAGCTCATCCTCACAACAGCTTGGCACTTTGTACCAAAACAGGAAGACCCAGAAAGATGGAGTAACTTGTCTACAATCATTACACAGCGACTTTTTGTGTGTTTGTGTTCTGGGGATGAAACCCAGGGCCTC